CCAACACTCTATCCATTACACCACATTCATTCTACCCTTTCTTTCTTTATTCATATCAGAGCACTGCACATGTTAAAAATATGGACAGATATGAAATATTGAAAAAATTAAAATAATTTGAAGTGTTAAGATAATTAGACTGTCTTTGACCAGAAGCTGACTAACAGTGGCAGGATCTCAGCCGTTTGCTAGGTCTACTTTTGTACATGTGGTGGGGCATAAAATGCATGCACACAAGCACTGCATTGATTGAATTTCTCCATAGTTACAGAAAATTTGTCCTGGATCCAAATTGCCCCCTTTTACTTTATTATTCTTCAATCTTCCAACTTCACCTCTAAGTCTATTAAGTGTGTTCCAGCCATGGGCCAACCACTCTCCACTCAATGGAGAAAGAGGAGCAGGACTGCTGTCTGTGAACCTCCATGTGCACACAAGCTCTTTTCCAGCCATTGCTACTGGTATTTATACCAGCAGCATGTCCTCCTCACCTTCCTAAAGCAGAATCTCAACATATGAAAAAACATCTGCACATGGTGTTCCACTGCAAATCATTCCTAGAGTAGATGAGTATGCAGTAAGATGATCCAATCCACGGGATCAGTATCCATTGATTCACATATTCATAGTCTGAAAATATTAAAAGAAAAATCCTATAAATATTCATTTCTAAAGAGGAAGTTACCAGAATTAGTCAGAAAGTCAGAGACAAAATATTAAAAGAAAAATCCTATAAATATTCATTTCTAAAGAGGAAGTTACCAGAATTAGTCAGAACAGAAAGTCAGAGACCATATGTATAGCACTTGCTAGAGAAATATTTTTTCATTATGTCACTACCGGAACTGGCGACTAGAGGGAACCAGAGACTATGCTGTGTATTGCATTTGCTCTTAAAACAAAGTTTGCTATAATCTGTGTCTTTCAGTGGGGTGTGTGTGTGTGTGTGTGTGTGTGTGTGTGTGTGTGTGTGTGTGTGTGTGTGTGTGTGTGTGTGTGTGTGTGTGTGTGTGTGTGTGTGTGTGTGTGTGTGTGTCTTGGAACTGATCCCCTGTGGATATGGAGGTCCTACCATATTCTTCAAATATTACAGTCTTTCAAGTGTGAACAGCATAATTACTGGGAATGGGCGAAGAAGGCAAAATGAATATTACTAGTTCCAGTGGTAAAGAAGTCATTTTGTTGTAATTAAATGTTACAATTCCACCTTCCTCAGAAGGAGGTATATTAACAATACTCATAATTATACTACATTGTTATTTGTTTGTTTGTTTGTTCAGTCATTTAGTCGTATCCGACTCTTCGTGACCCCATGGACCAGAGCACACCAGGAGAAACGTAATATACTGTAGGCAAGAGAGTAGCATAAAATGTGGGGGAGGGGAAGTCCACTCGGAATGTCTCAAAAATGCATTTTCAAATATTTTTTTAAAAAATAAGGAGAAACTATTACTCATTAACGACCCTCCCAAAACCAAGTACTGTAGTGCAATTCCCATTTTGTATGATGCTTTTGAAATCTCATGGTGCAAGCAGGCAGCCAAACTATCCCATCCTGAAAAACAGAAATCTTCTTTGCTACTCAGCTTTGGAGGAAAGGGAGGGAAGTTCTGCATTTAATTTTTAATTGTTGGAAACCAACACAGCACATCAGTGATGCTTTGAGAGGGCTTTGACAAAAATACATTTGCAATCTTTCCTCATGCATATGCAACAATTAAGAAGAAATGCATAACTTCCTCTGCTTTGCCTTCCAAAAGCAAGTGGCAAGGAAGTATCCCATTTCAGAAGACTGTTAAGTGGCATCAGTAGAAGACAGCCATCCAACCACCTTGGTTTGATCCCAGTAATCATACACAATGGAATTAAACCAAAACAGAATGATCTAACTCACACCTTAAAAAGAGTAGTCCCTGATAAGGAGCCAAAAAAGTGTGAACAGGAACGATCTAGGTATGGTTCACACTGGTGCTTATCTTGTGTGGAAAAGGAGTGAACCAGCATATTCAAACTGTGGGACAAATCCTGTGTCTTTTCTATTTCCTCATTATCCACTCTGTACTCATTACATGCCAGCTCCAAGACCATCTTCTGCTGGGTTGACTCCACCCTCTTAAACACCTTACTCCCAAAGAAGGTATAAATATCTGGATCCAGAAAAATCTTTCTCTAGATTGGTTGTCCTACTGCCTCAGGAAGAGCAGCAGGCATCGTCCTCTTGTGCAGTTACCTGTTTACCACACCATGGGCCCATCTGGTCAGAACACCACGAAGACTTGAAAAGTATATACCTCATGAAAATGCAAGCCAATAAAGCAGAACCAAATGGGAGGTAAGCACCCACATAAGAACAACTCCTAGATCAGTGATGGCAAATCTTTTTGGCCCCCGAACCCCAAAAAGGGGGGGGGGGGGACAGCAAGCGGTGGAAGCAGAAGTGGCAGAGGCAGTGGAAGTGGCAGCGGCAGCGGAAGGGGGAATCCTGGGCATGGAGGCGTCTCCAGACCCCACTCTGGATCCGCCTCCAATTGTACCCAACCCCCACCAGTGCCAACTGCTCCAGATCCTGACCCACCACCTGTTGGGGCGCTAGCACCACGGCTGCAGCTGCCTCCTTAGGTTTAGCGATCCGGCGACTTACGGCTCGTGTGCCCGCAGAGAGGGCTCTGTGTGCCAGCTGTGGCACATGTGCCATAGGTTTACCATTGCTGCCCTAGATTCACAAACAGTGTTAGAAACACATGGAAGAAAATCCAAAGAGCCCGAAAGACCCAGAACAACCAGTGTTAGAAACACATGGAAGAAAACAATTTGTACTGATAGACACTGCCGCTTGATTTTGTTATGACTCTACTTCACTATTCACATTAACTTGAAGAAGGACTTGTGTATTTGAGAAGATACAGTGCTGTGAATGGCTGTCTTAGCTAAGATCTTCCCTTTACATTTGCTACAGCATGTTCCTTCAGAGAAACATTTTTTGGATCAACAAAATAAATTCTCCTCTGATGTAATATGGAGAACAAAAGTGCCTAGATTATAGTTTCAATAATTAATTGAGCACTGTCTTTTTTGGCTGGAATAAGGACAAAAGGCCTTTCATCTCAATACCTGTGTTAATCAGTTCATCCATAGAACAATATCTGTGTCAGTTATTGATAGTAATTGTTAAAGGTAATGATCAATGTTTGTATCTTCTGCATGTCAGTTCCTTCTCAGTCCAATGAATACACATCTTCACCCATAGATTTGTTCAGTAATCCATCACCTGAAGTAACACTCCTTACACCTGATGAAGTGAGCAGCAGACCAAGAGTTTGTGCCAGCTGAAACGCGTTAGACTTTAAAAAGTCACAAAACTCTTTGTTAATTTTTGGAAGGCATTTTCCTCTTCTCTTTCTCAAATTACTGAGCAGCATTTTGTGAAATGATTTTCATATCTACTTTTTAACTTAAGTTTTAAGACTCATTTTTCTCTTTGATGTCCCTGAAAGCCAGTTCTCAGAGGATTTTCTGAACTTCTTTTGAAGTCAGTAACATGATTGCAAAAGACTACATGAAAATCCCCCCCCCCTACACACACACAACAAAGCATCAGATCTCAGGTCAATCTAGTCCAGTATTGGTTTTTCCTTATTGCATAAGCTGAAGTCTCCAGAAAGCCCACAAGGAGGATCTGGACACAATCATCCCTTCCCCACTGCCACTCTTGTGGAAACAAGACTGGTTAAGAATATATTTCTTTCTTTGGCTTATTTCAGCTCAGCTGAAATGCCCAGCTGCTTTATATTTATAGCTATATATTTTGCAATTTTAATAATTAGTTTAAAAGATATAAATATAATTATATTAGAAGGCAGTGGTCACTATTTTTTAGTAGAATAAAGAAGTGCTTTCAGAAAACTAAAAAAGATTTTAAAAAACAACAGACATTGAGACTCATTGTTTTGAAGTTGTTTGATATTGGTGTGTTTATAAAATCCTCAACCTGTAATATCAGTGTTTTAACATATATTTTATGATAGAAAGAATCCAGAGATACTTTAGTGGTGGTTTTGTGTTGTGGATAGTCTGCCTGCATCTGTGTGAGCTCGTAGGGTAAATAGGTGGGTAAATAGGTGGAAGTAAGTAATAGCAGCTACAATAATTGTTCAGGCTTATCCCTCCATCTTCTTGGTAAGCATGCTGCTCTTTCATTTTTCATTGCAAGTTAAACTTTTGTAAATGACTGTTAATTCTAAAAATGATTTTGTCTTTGTATTGTTGCCCATTACTTCTGGTTTGTTGGTTAGCAGTCCTAGATTAGACCAGTTCAGTTGTTCAAGGGGAACTTGTAGAAAGTGAGTTTGGTTGCTTTCTGTGTGCATAGGGCTCAACTTGAGGGGCACTTGAAAAGCAGACATTGTTAGACATGCCTAAGATTTATTCGTCATAGAAATATCTATTGTTTTATATTTATTGTTTTCAAATCCAGTTTTGACCAGTTTCAGAATACAAATTGATAAATAGTGATTTCTTAAAATGCCTCTTGGGTGTCATGCTTGTAAACTATTCTCACAATTTAGTCAGTGGTCTTTGGATGGCTGTGGTTAGTAATGCAGAAAAATACGAAATGTTTAAGAATTTCAGGTTTTTAGTTAAACAAACAAACCAATGAAATTATGTCAAAAAGAAAACTGCTTCTGTTCTCATCCAGAAAAGTTTGTGAAAGATGGAACCCAGAGATTTGAGAGAAACGAGTGAAGCTACCAATGGGACAGTTTCTCTCCCCGTCCTTCTGAAGAACCTAAGGTTGTTCGGACAGGGAGGGCTTTGAGATGGACCCATTCAGTTTTCTATTCTGCAGTTGCCCATTTCGCTCCGCACTGACTAAGGATCAGCAGTGGAAAATTACGGACCAGGCAGAACAGACAGGACGTTGAGCGAGTGAGCGTTCGTGGACTCCCGAGACGCTGCGCTTCGAGCACGGAACGGAAGGCGCGACGGACTGGTTTCCCGCCGGCCGCGGGAGAGTGTTGCGCGCGGCTGGTTTCAGCGCGGCTGCTTCTCGGGGGACTTCCCCCTCCTCGTCTTCCTTCCTTCCTTCCTTTCTCCGCCCCCGCCGCCGCCGCTACAGCTACCCTGAGAGCCCGAATCCAAGATGGAGTTGCTGAGTAAAGCGGGGCAGGAGATGAGCCTGGCAGCCTTAAAGCAGCACGACCCCTACATCACCAGCATCGCCGACGTGACCGGCCAGGTGGCCCTTTACCGCTTCAGCCCCACGGCTAACGAGTGGGTGAGTGGCCGGAGGCGGTGGAGGGGAGGCAGCCCGTGCTGAGGCCGGCCTTCTCTGAGTCCCCGTCCGGATGCTTTTTTGCCCTCCCCTCCGCTTTCTTCCCTCTCTGCTCCTGGTCCCCCGGCTCTCCTCCCCCACCCATGGGACGCCTCCTGCTCCCCAGCCCCACCGGCCGTCTGAGCCAGAACAGTCCCGCGGGGGGCCCTCTGCCCCATAGCCTGCCCCCCCCGCGGGAAAAGACGAACAAACAGGTCTTTCTCCCTATGGAGGGTTTCGCTTTCGCCACCACCACCTGCCCACACACCCCAGAAAAGGAAGGGGGTGCTTCGTGGTCTGTGGGGAGAGGAGAGGGGGGCTCCGTCCGGCCGGGGCCCGCGAGCAGAAACACGCCCACCTCCCTTGGCTTTCTTTCCTAGGGGCAGCAGCTGGTTCCTCAGCCCAGCCCTGCCGCTTGCTCACTTTGGGGTTTATAATTGGCATGGTTTCGTTTTAGCGCATAACACCCCCTTCAGCCCATGGTAGGGTAAATTGGTGGAAGTAAGTAATAAGGAACCAGCCAGCTGTTCCACATACCAAACAACTGCTGGGCATGTGTACTACTACTACTACTACTACTACTACTAGTACTGCTGCTGCTGCTGCTGCTGCTGCTACAAAGCTAGTCGCATAGTGCTTTTAAAATAAAGAAATGCCTGTGTGTTGTGCCTAATATTGCTAAAGTTGTGGCAGGTATGTCTGCCTAAAAATAAGGGTTGGAAAAGATAAAGTTCACTGCTTTAGCTTTGCACATATTCTCTTTTAATTTTTTTTTAAAAATTAAACAAACAACATCATATACACATCAAATAAACAATTAGCAAACACCTACTAGAGCACACACTCTAAAGTGGCTCTTGGAGCATTAATGAATGGTGCTGTTCTGCCCCTCCCTGCTGCCCACTCTGAAGTGACATCCCTTGGGTAGGTGATCAAACCTGAATTAGTCATTGCAGCTGTGGAACTGTAGAATTGTGGTTTACATTATGTTAGAGTTGGCAGAGATACGTGTATGTTCTGCTGAGGGTTTATAATCTTTGTCCTGCAGGATCAGGAAACTTGGATTTGAGCTTCATGTGAACCAAGTACAGTTTTGGTTTGCACAACATCCTTGCTCTAGCAGGTTAAAAGTAGGCCCAAGCTTAGTATGGGGAAATAAGATTGGCATTACTATGATGTAGCAGCTCAGACCAGAACTTAGAATACCTACGAGTCCTAAAACCCCTCAACTTGAAAATTCTGGGAGGTGAAGTCTAAAAATTAAGTTTTCCAAGCTGTATCTCGGAATAAGATGACTAGAAGCATATCCCCAGTCAGTTAGAGCACCTTCAGTTGATTTTTAAGAGTTTTCTTCTGCAGTTCTTTTTGTAGTTCTAGCTCCAGTTTTTTAAGTTCTTCTTTCAGTTTTGTAAGTTGTTGGTTTTTTCTTTTATTCCTTTTGACTATATATCATATGGCCAATGAGTATGCTTTAGCTGTGTCCCAAATTGTTTGCAGGGATGTTTCCTCTTTTTTATTTTCTTTGAAGAAAAGTTCCATTTCTTTTTTAGTTCTTTCCACAAATTCTTTATCCTTCAATATTCCCTGGTTTAAAGTCCATCTTGTCTTTTCTTTTCTCTCTCCTTTCCACCGCGTTTTCATTGGGTTATGGTCTGCCCAAATATTGGTTTCTATTTCTATTTCCTGTATTTCAGTTTTTAATTCTGAGGATAGCTGAGATCAGAATTTATGTCGACCAGGATTTATGTCTATTTGAATAGAAGGTAAATTGAGAGCTTTTAGTATTTGTTTCTCTCCATATATCTTATAATCCTAGTTCTTCTGCCATCTGAAAGAAAACATTTAGCAGTCTAGGAAGAAGGATTCTTCTTAGCTACCTGACAGTATCTTGTTGCCTGTCTTTTTAAAAAAAAAAAATAAATGTTCTTTTAGGATTTTTAAAATGATGTTTCTTTGTTTTATATGCCACCTTTCTCCTGGTAAGGGGACTCAAGGCGGCTCACAGTACTAAAAAGAATAGAGTTAAAAGCATAATAAGTTAAACATTTTAAAAAGCAATTAAACTATATGCTAATTAAAATACAGTTGTATAATTAAAAGCAAGTGAACATTAAAAACTATCAGACTTTAAGAAGGCATTCAGGGATTGAATTGTCACTGTTGAAAGCCTTCCTGAAGAGATGGGTCTTCAACTGTTGGCAGAAGGATAAAAGGGAGGGGGCCAAACTCATCTCCCGAGGGAGAGCATTCCATAACCTGGGAGCAGCTATAGAGAAGGCCCTCTCCTGTGTCTGTATCAACCATACCTGTGCTGGCAATGGGACTGATAGGCGGACCTTCTCTGATGATCTCAAACACCAGAAAAACCTCATATGGTGGAATATAGTCCTTTCAGTAGCCTGGACACAAGCTGCATAGGGCTTTTAAAATAATGACTATCACTTTGAATTGGGTCTCTGGGAGCAGCTATAGAGAAGGCCCTCTCCTGTGTCTGTATCAACCATACCTGTGCTGGCAATGGGACTGATAGGCGGACCTTCTCTGATGATCTCAAACACCAGAAAAACCTCATATGGTGGAATATAGTCCTTTCAGTAGCCTGGACACAAGCTGCATAGGGCTTTTAAAATAATGACTATCACTTTGAATTGGGTCTGAAACGGACTGGTAGCCAGTGCAGTTGTTGTTACAGGGGTATCATGCTCGCTATAACTGGCCACAATCAGTAGCCTGGCTGCTGAATGTCTTCAGAAATGTTTTCAGAGAGACAGCCCCACATAAAGCATGCTACAGTAATCCAAGAGGGATTACTCTAAGGCAGGGGTGTCAAACTCAATTTACCTGGGGGCCGCTGGAGGCAGGGTCTGTCTGAGACTGGCTGCATCAGATTTTCTGCCCAGCGGAGCAAGAGCCCGAGGAAGCTGCCAGGGAGTTTCCTTAGCCTGGTTGCGGCTCCGAGGAGGGGGGGGGTGCGCGAGCCCTCGTCGCCTGGCCACGACCCCCTCCGTCTCCTTCTTTGCCACCACGACTATCACTTTGAATTGGGTCTGAAACGGACTGGTAGCCAGTGCAGTTGTTGTTACAGGGGTATCATGCTCGCTATAACTGGCCACAATCAGTAGCCTGGCTGCTGAATGTCTTCAGAAATGTTTTCAGAGAGACAGCCCCACATAAAGCATGCTACAGTAATCCAAGAGGGATTACTCTAAGGCAGGGGTGTCAAACTCAATTTACCTGGGGGCCGCTGGAGGCAGGGTCTGTCTGAGACTGGCTGCATCAGATTTTCTGCCCAGCGGAGCAAGAGCCCGAGGAAGCTGCCAGGGAGTTTCCTTAGCCTGGTTGCGGCTCCGAGGAGGGGGGGGGTGCGCGAGCCCTCGTCGCCTGGCCACGACCCCCTCCGTCTCCTTCTTTGCCACCACCACCACCAGTAGCAGCAGAATGAAGAAGCGGAGAAGGGAGCCCCAGTGACCACCTAGCTGGGGGGAGGAGGGCACGACATAAAATAAACCCTCACAGAATCACCTTGCCAAAGGAAAAAAGCTCCCATTGGTACCTGCGAAATTAAACAGAACGAGGCAGGCTCCCCATAGGTGTGCACTCACGCATGCGCGCACTCACACAGACAAACACGGAGGTCCGGCAACATTCCTCTGAAGGCCCCCCCCCTCAAAAAATGGCACAGCAGCAGCAGCAGTTACCCCCGGCTGAAGCAGGACGGAGAGGAGGAGGAAGCAATGGCAGGCGCTGAAGCGGCCACTGGATGGGCTGGTGGTGGGGGTGGCAAGAGAGAAAGAGAGCCAGAGAGCTGCTTCCCTGGAAGAGGAGGAGGCAGCAGCTGCTGTTGGCGGCACTGTTGAAGGCGCTCTTCAAGGATGGACTGGGAGCTCCGCGGCGGCTCGGGCGCTTGGGGAAGAGGGCCGACAGCACGACTCGCTCACTGGCTCTCCCCCAAGACAGCACCTCTTGCACCCTCCATCTGAAACTGCGTGCAAGAGGTGCTGTCTTGGGAGAGAGCTGGTGAGTGAGGCAAGGCTTTTTTTTTTAACTCTTGAGAGCAGAGGATGCGTGGGCCCTTCGGGGGGGCAGGCAGAGTGGGGGCCACAAACTATCTTCCGTCGGGCCGCAAATGGCCCCTGGGCTGCATGTTTGAGACCCCTGCTGTAAGGCATGTGTCACTGTGGCCATGGAACAGGCGCAGCTGATTTTCTTTCTGTACACTGCCCGAGTAGCAATTTGCAATATGCATGGTATAAAAATTGAGTGGATGAATTCCTGTTCATCTCATATTGATAATAATATACAGTCACGTTGATTTAGACTTGAGGCTAGCCTTTACAGGACCTTATAGGTATAGAGCACTTAGAAGTAGCTTACCATTGCCTTGTTCTGTGGCTGCTTTGGGACTGTGTAGTTTGCCCGAGACTACACAGGCTGACTATTCTTCTACAAGGCATAGTGGGGAATCAAATTACCAATCTGTGGCTGTGCAGCCAGATGCATCAACTCACTGAGATATCCAACTAGCCAAATCCTGTTCATGTGCTTAGTGCAAAATCAGAAACTGAAGTGCTGTCCTTTTCAGCAGGCAGTGCAACTTAAGGAAATGCTCTGTGCAAGTAACAGTCTGTAGTAGTGCTGCTGCTGCTCCCCAACTATGCTTGCAGAGTTCTCTTAGACAAACAGATGTGCTGCAGGAAGGCAAAAACCGAGTGGCGTCCCTTTTCTGTATTTATATTGTTGCTGAAGATGAAGCAACTGAATTTATTCAACTGCCTGAACAGCAGATTTTAAGATTTTGTCATTTGAGCAGGGGATGGCAACTTCTAAGAGTCTAGGGGCAGTTTTGCTCTCCTCTGGGCTTTGGGGATTGCACACAAAATCTGAAATCCTCCAGGGTTTTTCTTTTCTTTTTTCTTCTTCTTTTTGCCAGTTTCGCTCCAAAATGCAATTCATGCTCCCACTTACCATATAAATGTATTTTTGAACCCCAATGAGATTTCAGATCTTAAAAGTCTTTTTAAAAACCTGGTTAGTCCATTGTTATTGTTCTGTAAACATCGTTGTATTTGGGTGACCAAACAAACAAACAAAAAGAGGATCAAGTCCATATTGACTGTAATTCCTGCACTGAGTAATGGAGTTGGACTCAATGGCCTTATTAGCCCCTTCAAACTCCATTATTCTGTGATTCTGATAGCTATGAAGACAGAGCCATACTGGCAGCCTTGGAGAATGTTATGTTATCCACACCATGTTCATCTGTGCATTAATAGGTCTGCCTTGTTTCTACCCAAAGTATTCAACTGAGAGATATAAAAGATCCTTACTAAATGCCTTAACACCAGGATACCCAGGGGATCTTCCTCTCATGTAAAAATTTGCCTGCTGTCTTACAGTCTTAGCAGAGTGTACTGTGCACTGTCTTATCAAAAATTATGAACAATTTTTTGCTGCTGTACAGATGGTTATTTCTGATCTTTTGTAGTGCAATGGAAGTCATTTTATTCTTTGGGGGTATCTAGTACCTATTTTTTGTTTCTGTCTTTTATTTTGTCTCTAGTAATCTGATACCTTAATTTCACTTCATTAGATAAGTTTGTATTATTTGTTATTTTTAGTTTGTCTAGATGCTTACATGAAGCAAAAAAGCCAGCTACACATTTTAAAATTTTCCTGCAGTCTCTAAATTCTACACTCCATATTTTTTTAACCCTTTGGGGTATTTTGTCTCTAAATGCACATTTACAAGTCCATGTGTTTACCTTGCTCTGCCTCTAGTGCTATAGGTTTAGAAGCATAACTTGTATCCAAGAGCTTTGGTTTTAAAGTCCCTCAGAGAGAGCTTTTGCAATACTTGTTTTTCGAGAAAAACAGGTCTGGCTTACATGTCTATACTATTTACCAATGTTGCGTTATAATGCTAATAAATAGACCATGGTTTCTATCTTTCTGATATGTCTGCAGAATACACAAGGAGGAGAAATTACAGATGTTTTGCTTTTTTAAATGGCTTTAATAAACACTTTTTTATTCACACAGTGAATTTTAAGAATGAGCCATAACAATTCTATTCTTTCCCATTCAAATGAATAGGTCTAGAGCTAGAATTTCATATGAACTATGAAAGTTTAAAAAGCTATGATGAGCTATAATTCTTAAATTAATTTATTGCTATTATTTTCCTGCTTTCTGTTACAGGAGAAGACAGACATAGAAGGTACCCTGTTTGTGTATAAAAGGTAGGTTTATAGGTTACCCAAACATATCTTTGTTGTATTGCAACACTATGAACTGAAATTTAACTGTCTGCTGTTCAAATTGAACAAAAATTTAAATAATTTTAAGTTGTGGTTTCAAAAAGAATGCTATGCTTTTTCTTTGTAGTTCTAAGAAAACATATGAGGTTCTTTTGATATACATCAGTCTTATTGAAAAAAGGCTTAAGAACAATTTTGATCTGAGTAGACACTTCAGTATTAGCAACTAGGCATTTAAAATTTGCTATTAGAGTTTGTTCACTTCAATAGACTAAAAAGTCCCAGAAATTTACATCTGTATATATTAAATGATTATTATTATGTACCATCAAGTTATTTGTGGCTTAGTATGACCCTCATAAGGTTTTCTAGGTATAAAATAATGAAAAGTGTTTTATCAGTTCTGGTAGTCGTGCTTTTGGGGCTGTGCAGCTTGCCTAAGGCGGCAAAGGTAGCAGGTGACAGAACCCCATTATCCACACACACCTAGCTGACCCTTCTTCCAGGATATGCAGCAGTCATTCAGACTCCTGTCACCTGGCTTCTACTGGGAGTTCTGGGAGAATTTTGCAAGTTGGAGGCCAAAACACCCCAAATTGCATATAAGTTAGAATGACATGAGACACACTATGGTTAACAGTATTGTATCTATGCAACTTGTGGGCCTGAACATAACTCCTTAAAATGTTACATTGAGCTTAAACACAAATTTAGTGTGTGTGTGCACCACATTTACATACACTAATCTTTTGCCTCTGCCTTCTCTTTCTGCTCCTCCAAAGCAAATCCCACCCAAAATTTATGCTGAAAAAGGACCTGCTTTCTGTGTACATCTTTGTGTAATGTGCAGTATGACATGTTCTCCTGCTTTTAGGCTCCTTACATGTTTGTGGTGATAAACTGTGCCATTGGAACTGAATGTTGACATCGAGGATGTCATTGTCATGCAGTGTCTTTAGAGAGGTTTTAATACTTTCAAATAGATGAAAGGTGTTCAACTACTGTTATAAAAAAAATACCAAAACTCCACATTTTGTATATTTTACCATACATGCTTTTAAATCACCCTCATCCAGTTTTCCCTTCAGTTTCTCAATGTGGCACGCTTTTAATGTCCTCATTGGATGTCTGTAGAAAATTCTGAGCTGCCCCTTCAAATCATGAAGGCTCCCTTCTGTTTTGCTGGCAGTTAGTAAAAGTCGGGATGGGTGCTTTGTGTCTATACTATGCAGTGGAGATGGGCAATCTCAGTGGGAGTCCATGGACATTTTTAAGGTTTTCTGGCAGATAGAGAGAAGGAGGGGGAACTGAAAGGAGACAAGTGAAAGTTTTTAAAATAAAGATTTTGGTTAATTGAAAAGTGAGGTTAACTAAAAAAGACATTTTTATCTGAAGGAGCCCTTTCATGGCCTTTAGTGGGGATTTTTAAAACATTAGAAGTAATGTATGGGAAGGCAGGGTTCAGTCAAAACATTGCAGAATTTTCTCCCATGCCCCCAGGGGGCACAAGGGGACTTTCTGAGGGGGAAAAGAGGTATGTCAAAATCATTTTCACAATTTGGGGGGGGGGGGGCTGGGGGGAACACATGTTTGGTCACCTTGGTGAATTATCTATATCTGTAACTAGAGAATAGAATGTGTCCCTGTCGGTTCTGCCGCACTTCTCAGCTGTTTTTGGTATTAACAACCATGGTATCCTTCTGGCTGTCTGGGATGGGACTTGGAAGCAGAGTGCTGCAGTGACTCTGGACCTTCCTGGCTTGGAGAGGCAAACTAAGAAGGTAGTCCTGGGGGGGGGGGGACACCTGTTTGATGCCTTGCCCATTGGCCTGTAGGATTTGACTTCAGGATTTCACTTTATGCCCGTTGCTGTACATGAAATCACTAGGAAAGGATATACAGTATGGATTTTTGGGGTTCAATGCTATCTATGCTGATTGCGCACAACTTTATTTTTTTCTTTTCCATCTAAATCCAAAGAAGTTTAACTGTCCTAAACCAGTGTTTGAGGTCAGTGGTGGACTAGATGAGGGTGAACAAATTGAAGTTTAATCAAAGCAAGACAGAGGTGCTCCTGGTCAGTCAAAAGACAGATCAGGGAATAGAGATTCAACTTGTGCTGGATGATTATATTCTCCCTAAACAATCAGGAGCGCGTGTGTGTGTGTGTGTAGGTTAGGGGTATTCCTGGATTCCTCTCTGAGCCTGGGTGTGGTCAGAAGTGCATATGCACAATTGAAACTAGTGTGCAAACTGCGTCTGTTACTTCAGACGCCTAATTTTGCTATGGTGACACATGCATCCCATTTGAATTACTGCAGTGTGCTCTACTTGGGGTGCCTCTGAAGAATCCTCAGAAATTCCTCTGAAGAATCCTCAGAAATCCTCAGAAACTTTTGGTGATAGGGCAGGAATGAAAATAAACCAAAAGAACACAAAATACTTGTTTGTTTATTTTATTTATTTATTTATTTATTTATTTATT